TTGAAAATCACATGATATCACTTACATGTGGGATATAAACCTAAAAACACCAAACGAGACAAGACAAACAGAGACTCATATAGACTATACAACTTCTATAGACAGGAGAGGGGCAGGGAGATGGTAGATAGGGTAAAGGGGGTCAAATATGTGGTGACAGAAAGAAATCTAACTATGCGTGGTGAACACACAATGCAAATATATATATGCCTTACTGCTAAATTGTACACCTGAAACTTACTGGATTTCGTTAACCAATGTCGCCATAATATAAATGTAAAATAAAAGATTTTTGGTATAAAAAATGAAATGATATTGTAGGAGGTAATAACTATATAGGCATTGTGGATTTCATAAAACAAAATAAATATGGACTAAAGTGTTTCAAAATATGAGACTTCATTTCATGTATGTCATATTAGTGAACTGAGCATTTCTTAAGTGAATAGATACCATTTGAATATCAAAAATTACTACTTTGAATAGCCTAACATAAATAGCCTGCATTTTTGAAAATTATTTTAAATATAATTTCATCTTCCATCACTGATCAATGGGTCATGCATTCTCTCAGGGGTTCCCTGAGGTAGTTGTTTGAGCTGTGTATTGAATATATCCCTGCAATAACGCTACTATAATGCTATGCTGTTAGAATTTTTTACTTCTGGGTTTTTTTTTTATAGTTTATTTTTTCTCCCTAGAATAGTGCCATTTTTACTTCTACAATTTCTCTACTTTTTAATTATCTGTTGGCTTGAAAATCTAACAAATATGTTAGAACGATATGTAAGTTAATATGATGGAGACATAAAGTGTCCTAAAGGTCGAAAAGAATGCACAGGCTTCTCCTATAAGGTTAAGGACCTACGGAAAAAGATGATAGATATGTTTTCATTCCTGAGGAACCCTTCTTTTCTTACTGCCTAGATTGGTCTTATTTCAGATTGAGAGACTGGTCGAGAATTCTACACAAGTGAAATTTTACTCTTATTTCATATCATATTCTAAATTCTAAAATTCTCTTGTATATACACAGTCCAACATTTCATTTCCATCATGTCCTGATATCCACCTGTTGGCCTAACATTTTCAACATTTCTACTGTGCTGACCTAGATATCTGAATGTTCCTCAGTCAACTGCCCAAAATGAAACAAATGCAGAAACCCAACCAAAAAAGCCCTAGTAATTAAATCATTGTTTGAAGAGTATTAGTAAAAAGGCGAGTTTTATTAATAACATTATCTACTGAATACCTGAGCCAGACATCCTCACAATAAAAAAATAAATATGAGCTAGAAATTCTGTGTAATTCTGTTTAGACACAAATTCACAGCATCATTCTAGAATTTCCTGGAACCACTAAGAGAGAAATCACATAACAGCATGTCTGCGATTAAATTATACAAGTATTCATTGTTTTATGCTTTCATTGGAAAGAAAATTTCTAATACGACTTTTCAATAGAATAAGTACCTTTAAATATATATATATATTTATGTAATACATATATGTACAATACATATTTCATTCCATTCAATGAAACATGAAACAAACTTAGTGACTGGCCTTCCACTTTAGATTATGAGCTGTTCGGGAACATCATATTACCATTATTTATCGTTCATTTCTTTGGATTTTAATTTCTCACTAGGTTTGGCTCAACACTTTTAGGCTGCTTCCGGGCTCCCTTCAAATAGAACCCAAATACATTACGGAATAGAACAGGACATTGCCTGTATTATATGGGAATATGAAGTAAGTCCATGGTAAAAGAAAGAGAGAGGAAGAGAGGAAGGAAGGAAGGAAGGAAGGAAGGAAGGAAGGAAGGAAGGAAGGAAGGAAGTAAAAGGAAGGAAGGAAGAAGGGAGGGAGGGAGGGAGGGAGGGAAAAAAATTAGTCCTGCATACTAATAACACCGTTATGATTTGGGGGCCACAGGAGCCTGTTACCTTATGTACAAAAAGCACTATGCTCCCTTTCCTCTAAAACTCTGGCACCCGAAGCCTGCTTTTACACAAAGGCTCCAAGCACAACATGCGCTTCCCAGCCTTCGCGCAAATCACACAGTTTCCATGCCCCACACGCTGCACCGCTGGTCTGTCACCGGATAGAACCTGGCTCGGAGACCCCTAGTCCAACCCAGGGGCACGAACGCCCCACTAACCAAGGCTTCACCCCGCCCAGGAAACACAGTACAAACCCTCCTCAGTGGCACAGTAGGGGCCCTAGCAACATCCCCCCACACCTGGGCACTCAAGAATAAGCCCTCACCTTGGGCATTAGGTCCGAGTTCCCCAGCCTGATTGGCTCAGTCCCAAAACACCATCAAGCCCTTTCTAGGGACACACTTTGGCCCTGGGCAAACACCAGTCGCGCCCAGCGCCCCACACGGCTGGATGCCTACCACCAAGCAACCTTCACCTTGGGCACCACACGGTTGCCACCGCCCTGGATCCGTGCACAGCACAACCCGGGCTCTCTGGCTATGCCTTCGCATCAACCCCGCAACATCCGGGTTGACCCAGCCCCGCGCCCCCTACCTGGCCCACCAACCAAAGCTCCCTCCCTGCCCTCGAGTAGGTCAGCCTGCTCCCTAACCCAATTCCAGTTTGCCCCCGGAATGCACTTCTTCTCCAGGCCCCTACCGGAGAATGTAGGTAGCAGGAACCCAAGAGCCCCCAAAAGTATCCCAACCAACCACCAAGAAATAAAGGTACTCTCGGTACAGCGGGGAGTTTCTCTGTGCATCGCGCAAGACGCAGTCATTTTGGGGGAGATTAGCGGGAAACCTGAGGGACGGTGAGCATTTATATACCTTTTTGAGTGCAGATACCAGACGCAACAATCCGCAGACTCACAAAGCTTCAAGTGAGGAACTTCAGATGGGCGTGACATACACGGCTACAGGGCGTTAGTGACCCGGGTACTGGGGTCATGCGGAGCCAATCAGCGAACAGAGAGGCGGGGCCGTGACGCAGGGGTTGGCAGCGTTAAGTCTGGAGGGAACGGTGTGTGCCTCTGCTGAGGTCTCACCGACCTAAGTCAGTCAGCTGGCAGCTCCGAAAAATTAAACCATTAAGTCATTATTGTTTTTTTTTTTTTCCCCCAGAACGCTGGAATGAAAAACAAAGTGAATCGACCTGAAAATAGAAACCCAGAGCCCAGATAATTGTCGCCCAAGGGCCAACGCCCCTCAGGGCTCCACTGTTGTTCTGGGGTCTCCAGACTGTCAGGATTACCAGGGTCCTTAGTTAATATTTGGCTTTGAGACGGGACATCTTTAGCAGGAAATGAAATGGGACATCTCTTGCAGAGTTAATCTTTTTAGTAAACCTAGTTAAGTTTTCTTCCCTCCTTTCTTTGGGAAAAAAAGAAAAAAGAAAGTCCCTCTCCCTCAAATCCAAATAATTGCCTCAAAACTGGTGACTCCTCAGATCCTCTGGCTATTGATAAGGGTCATAAAGGCCCTCTCCCTCAAATCCTGATAATTGCCCAGGCACTCAGACCCTCTGGCCATTGATAAGGGTCATCAGCCCATTGTTAAGCAGAGATGGTGTTAAGCCAGGCAGGGTCCTTAGAGTCTGAGCGGGGAGGGACTTTAAGCCAAAAGGTTTTTTTTACTCTTTAGGAAATATATTAACCAAGCCTGTTTTCCTTTATTCACTTAATAGGGAAATCAATAATAAAAATTAATAGGTATATGATTTAAATAATGTTTGTATCTTCTTTTTCCTTGTTTAGGGACTGAGGTGGCACTTTAGCAGGAAACCCAAGACTCCACCCTAACTAAGGCAGAAAAGAAAAGAGCTCCACGAAACCTCAACAGGCAGGGACTACGACTCTCCTCATCAGGAAGTTACGAAGAGACCTCTCGTCCCTCAACATCCATACTAATAGTAAGGGGGTTCACGGCTCTTAGAAAAGAGGTAGGCAGGAAAGTTAGGGGTTTTCAGGTCTGCCTGCAAAAACACTGAGGTTATCCTGTCCTAGAAGGGGTCCTCCATAATCCACCTATATTTAAGCAAGCCAGAAGGCATTTTTTTAACTCACACAAAGAAATCAGTAGGCAGAGAATTGGGTGCCAGTTTAAGCCAGTCACTTGCACCTGCACAATGAAGACCCCCAACAACCTTCAACTCACCTGAGCCTCATTATACTATCAATATAATATGATGCATATGCCCGGAAGTTCATTAATATCATTATAACAGACTGAATTCTGGAAAAACTTATGCAGAAAGCAAAATGATGAATCACTGAACCCTGTCAATCTTAGTTGTCAATCAAGGAAGCCCATCCCTCTAAGAAAAGTAACCACCCACAGCAAAAAGGGATAAAAACCCCAAAGGCTTTTGTTACCAGGCTTTTGAGCCATGCTTCTCTTGCTCCGGCCCGCTTCCACATCTGGAAGTGTACTTTCCCTTCTAATAAAACTTTTCTTTTCTACTGTATTTCGGTGTCTTGCTCAATTCTTTGTTTGAGACATTAAGAACCTGGACAATGTGCCGGAAGAGGTTCCCCACTCTCAGGTAACAGCATTACTCAGGCATAATTAGGGACAACACTTGAAATTTACATGTTTGAATGTCTGCTACTGAATCCCATCAAAGCCTGTTAGAATTCCAAATCACAAAGATTGTTTCAGGCTGCTGCACTCCTAACTCCTAATGTAATATTACTCTGCCCCCAACTCCCTTTAGAGGACCCCTGGGAAGATAAATTATTAAACAACGCTGCCATACTGGACCTCAATCTATGGGTCCCATGCCTTTTCGGAAATAATTTTTTTTTTTTATTGAAGACAAAATATACATGCTTGAAAAAGTTAAGGACAAGGGTGTACTGAATGGCAAATTCTTGGAAGCAATGAATGTCATTGGAATTAGGATGGTTAGGAATTAAATAGGTGAAATAGATAGGGAGAACTTTGTGGGTGAAATAATCTCTCAAACAATACTAAAGAAATTAAGAATGAGAAAGATATTTTGTAGAGTTGGGAGTACACCTGTATTACCAGTTAAAAGAAAAAAAGAGTAACACGATACGCATTAAAGAGCAAACAAAAGTGGTTAACATTTTCTTCCTATTAGTTGGCAAAGAATATGAGCATCAACTAATGTGAGTAAGCATTTTGAGGGGACTAACACCCTCAAACTTTTAATTTTTAACATAACTTTTCCATATGTGAAAAGATTTAGAATGGACATAGCTTTTAAACGACCAGTTCTATTGTAGATGTTACCCCAAAGAAATCATCAGAGATGTGAGTAAAAATTATAATTTTGGAAAAAATATAAACCCTAAGCATCTAGCAAAAGTATTAAGGAATTGATGGTAGGTAGCTTTATGAGATGAAATTCTATGAAGCAAGCAGTATAAAAAATATATAAATGTGAGAAACTGTGTTATATTTGTAAGTGGAAAAAACAAACTCCAAATTTGGATATTCGTTTTATTAAAACAAAAAGTAATATATTGATAAACATAAAAAGAATTAACTAATACTTAATAAGATTATAGATATTTCATTTTCTTTGTGCTTTTTATTTTTCTTTTTTGACCTTCCGTTACATTTGGAATCAGGTAGAGAAAAAAATAAATCTAACATATACATCAATGTCGATTTTATTCATAGATGGCAGGGATAGAATCTGCAGGTTAAATTACAAGAGGATGGTGAGGAAATAGAAGCTCTCCATATAAACCTTAAAGGCGTCTTCTGGAATTACAAAACCTTATATATATTTAAACAATTCTACATCTGAGATGTACTAAAGACTCTCTGGGTTCAATAAATCATGGAATTTCCTCTTCCTCCTAGACCAACATAATGTTTGGATTTTTGGCAGAAGATATAACACTAAGTATGGAGGTGATGTATGAAATAAACACCTTAGAATCTTGGATTATTAAACCCAGACACTTCATAATGACACTTAATTGAAGGAGGTATAATTAAGGAGACCGAGAATAGGAAATTCAGTGAAGGGGATTATCATTTCTGTTCATTCTTACAGTTGGAAAAGTGATATAACAGAAATATTCTGTGGCTTATTTGTGAAAACAGAAAATGTATTGTTCTGTACAACCATTTGTACACAATGTTATATGTCGCAATAAAGCTGAAAAAACTTTCCTATCTATTTCTAGGTTTGGAAATTTTTTTTTGTTGTTGTTGTTTTCTTTTTCCTCATGAGGAAATTCAAAAGAGTTTAGTAACCTAGTTACAAGTTCTAGATTAGGTTCAAGGACTGATGTTTTCAGTCAGTGAAATTTTTATATCCGAGGTTCATTACCATTCTGTTCTAAACTTTGTTCCCTATTTTTCTGGACAAGCTCCATGAGTAAGGAATAAAGTTTTGTTTTGTTTTGTTTTGTTTTTCTATATCTCCTGTGCCCAGACTGTTCTAGGATTGTAGAAAGTGCATAATAAATACCTATTAAATACCAAATGAAATAAGTGGACATTGCTGTCAACTGTATTTAACATATCTCTGCCAATTCATTGATTTACCAAATGCTGGAGAATTCTGAGAGATTTTGATTTTAATAACTTTAGACAGTAAGAACAAAGCTAGTTTAGTCTCTAAAAGGAATGAGTTTCAACTGTCTGCACAGAAAACCTTCCTAAATCAGGTGTTGCAAGCTGACTTGTGAAGTGGAGGTAATGTCTGTCCCTTAGCCTTGAGATCATTTTAGTGACTGAGGTCAAAGGGAAAGTATTGACAGTGAACTTCCTAAGGTCCTGACAGGAATAGAACTGGAGAGAGTCAAGGCTTTGAGTGAAGTAGGAGAGTAAACACTAGCGGTTCCTCCAACTTTCCCTAAAGATGTTGTCAAACTGCCAAAAGAAAATGAGGAGAGAATGGAGAATATGCATGTTTGTAGACCAGGTTTTGAGCAGTGTGGTAGATCTCCTTTAAGGCTTTATGAATGGCAGTAGGATGGCAGTAAGTCTGTGTGGATGTCATTAAACAGACATCAACTTCTTTAAAATACAACCATGTTAGATGATTCTTTGCCCTCTAAATTAGGATATTTACATTATGCTTTCCTGAGGTAAGGGTAGCAGCATGAATGCTCTCAGAATAGGCTGTCCGCAGACCTGGTGAATTACATATCAGGATTTGTGAAAACCCAAAAGAGAACGGCTAAGCAGAAGATAGTTAAGCCATCTTTGTGATGTTGGCCCTGGGAGCTATGTCTAAGATATAGAAGCAATGCGATCTTTCTTGTATCTTCTGTTAAAAGGGTGATCCTTAGTTTATGGACAAATAGAAGTTAAAAGTAAAGTGTGATTGTGTTACTGGATTTGTATCCATTTTTAGAACAGTATTGTAATTAGACTAATAGCACAGGTTTAACACATAAGAACAATATACTAATTTTATTCATTTTTCATAATATATGTGAACAATGCTGTTTGGAGCAAAAAATTGTCCTCTCAACTATACAAGGAAATTATAGTGTGAGCTCAACAATCAGAGATCCACTGATCACTTGGTGGGCTAGCAGTCCATTTAAAGTTTATTAAAGGGCCAGAGACCTATTTTATAGACCTTTTAGTCTATAAAATAAAAATAAATAAAAATAAAAAGCCACAGATATCAGATATCTATTAATCACAGTGTTCATTCCACTCTGGAAAAAAAAATTAGAATTTTTTCTTATAATAGAGATTTTAAATTCTAAGGAAAGCCAGTTTCCAAACAATTAATTTCTAAGTCCTCCTTTAAAATTTACTTCTTCCAAAATCCAATAAATAATAGAGATTTGTTAAAGTTCCAGTTAAGCAAACCATTGAGCATCTTTTTATATATTCGTGGGCTACTTGTTTTCTTTTTTCTTTCTTTCTTTTTTATTTTTGGTGACCTAGATACATTTACATATATATATCTTTTG